AAAATGATTTTTTCCTTTTGTATGTCTTTGAGGTTTTCGAACTTTTTTATCCTTAAAAGACACACTTAAGAAGGAGACTGATACTTTTTCTGTTTGTGGTTTTTATCTAAATCTTACAGATTATTTAAAACTAAGGATTATTAGACTTCCAATAAGTGTTGTTTCTTATTACTTTTTAGTCCCATATCACTGATAAAATATAAATAACACAGATAAAAGAGAAAAATCTACGTAAGATTTTAAAGTATAAGAATTCTTGATTTTATTTGTCATTGAAAATTGAATAAGATAAACAACATATACTGAATTCAAAATAATTAAACAAGTTATTTTTTATAAAATTTTTAAAGAGGTTTAAGTCAAATACTTAAGCACATTTTTTTATATGATTTGTAATAAATATTTGTATGTATGTATGTATATTTGCATTATGCATGCATGTGTGTATGTAGTTATAGTTTTGTTATAGTGTGTGTGTGTGCGTGTGTGCGTGCGTACGTGTGTGCATGCATGCATATGTATATGAAATTTATTATTAAAGGAAAAAAATAGGCAAAAGATCAAACATCATAAATCACTCTGAAATCTAATCATACTTAACATAAAAATTTGTTATCTGTTATATAAAGTCTACAGGAAACGTAAATCATACGGAATTATACAAATATACAAATACATGGATCAATCTACACTCCTCTTGTTAAATGAAACATAGTTGTCATTTTCTTTTCTTTTCTATTTATGTGAATGTCGTAAGTGAGTCAGTTTTAATTTTAAGGTTTTATGGTTGTATACTCATACTTGTAATACCTTTTTCTTCAATATGGAAACTACAATAGCTACATTAAATGTTAGAGGGTTAGGAAATAATAGGAAACGAAAACAAATCTTTGAATGGCTTGATTTACAACCTTATTCTGTTTATATGTTACAAGAAACCCATTCAACAAATCAATCAGAATCATGGAAAAATGAATGGAAAGGTATGTCTTTCTTCAGTGGAAATAAATCAGACAAAGAAGGTGTTGCATTTCTTATAAAAAATAATTGTAATGTTAAAATTCTGAATAAAAAAGAACTAATAATAGGAAGATTAATAGTACTTGAAGTAACAATAAATGAAAAAGCTTTTACAATGTTGAACATTTATGGCCCAAATGATGCTAACATGAGCATTTTTCAAATGCTAGAAGATTTTATTCTTGAAAACGATGAAAATAATTTTATAATCGGTGGCGACTTTAATACAGTGATAAATACAAATATCGATAAAAAAAATAGAAAACCTCAAACAAGTAGAAAATGTCGACATAAAATAAAAAGTATGTTAGAAACATGTAGCTTATGTGATATTTGGCGCATAAAACACCCTGAAAAGAGACAATTTACATGGCATTCAAATGGAAAACCAGTTCATTATTGCCGATTAGATTATTTTTTGGTATCTGACGTGCTATGTAACGTCATTTCAAGAAGTAATATTTCACACGGATATAAAACAAATCACTCTTTAGTAACTTTAACAATAAAGATAATGCAATGACAAAAAGGGTCTTGGCTATTTTAAAATTGGAAGCAATTTCTTTTATTACTAGATAAAAGTACCCAAAGTCAAATGAAAGCAACTATAATCTACAAGGACGACGTGGAGCTCATAAGATAATTGGAAGGGATACATAGGGGCATGGGACGACGATACGGACAATGCAGTGTGATCGTAGGGGGTAAGCTGAGAGTATGAGCAGCACGGGAGGAGCAAGGTAAGACAGATGAAACGAATATATGTTTCAAGTCAAATTAGCAGAACACGAAGGAGAAGAAGATGAGAAAATGAATCTCTCAATATTTGATGGATAGAATATAGTAAAGAATGTAGAGAGAAATGATCGACTGAGACTACTGAGTAAGACGAATGAACAAAACAATGAAAATAAATTACATAAAGAAATGATATCTAAAAAGCAAGAACTTGAACAAATTTATGAATACCGTGTAAATGGCTCGATTTTGAGAGCACGTGCTATTCACATAGAACAAAATGAAACAAATAGTAAATACTTTTCAAACTTAGAAAAGAAGCATGCGGAGAAAAAAATTGTACACAAGTTAAAAATACAAAATAATGAAATTTCAGACGCAAAACAAAAATTAAAAGAAGAAAAATCATTTTTTGAAAATTTATACAAATACAGAGCCCCACAAAAATCAAATCTAAATTTGTTTAATACAGACATTAAATCATTAAATGAAGAAGAAAAGTGCATATGTGAAGGAATATTAAATGAATATGAATGTAAAATAGCTTTATCAGAAATGAAAAACAACAAAAGTCCAGGATCTGATGGCTTAACCGTCGAGTTTTATAAGACATTTTGGAATAGCATCAAAAAATATTTTCTTAATTCGATTAATAACTCTTTTCAAATATCAAAACTAACAACTCTTCAAAGACAAGGAATTATATCCCTTATACCAAAGCCAGAAAAAGATCTTACAGATATATCAAACTGGAGACCAATAAGTTTGCTTAACGTGGATTATAAATTAGCAACAAAAACTATTTCTAATCGTATCAAAAATGTTTTGCCAACTATAATTAGTTTCAATCAAACAGGTTTCATGAAAACCCGTTACATTGGTGAAAACGTAAGGATGATTTTTGAAATAATTGAATATCTTCAAAAAGAAAGCAAACCAGGTTTATTATTCTTTGCCGATTATGAAAAAGCATTTGATAGTTTAAATCATCAGTTTATCTTTAATACTCTTCAAAAGTTCAATTTTGGTAAAGATTTTATACAATGGGTCAAACTTTTTTACACTGATATTTCAAGTATAATTGTAAATAATGGTCATTTCTCAGAACCTTTTACCATAGAAAGGGGTGTTCGACAAGGATGTCCTTTATCATCATCATTATTCATCGTCTGTTTAGAAATTTTATCCAATTACATAGAAAAAGGTAGTGAAATAAAAGGAATAAAAGTTGAGGACAAAGAAATAAAACAATCCTTCTTTGCAGATGATGCAACTTTCGTAAACGATGGTTCAGTTAAGTCTTTAGAAAAACTTGTCTATGTGATAACAGAATTTAGTAAAATTTCCGGTTTAAACCTTAATTCAAAGAAATCAACAATATTACGAGTCGGGTCATTTAAAGATACTTACATAGAATATTGTAGAAATAGAAAATTTAAGTGGACATCTGATTCAGCAAAAACATTAGGCTTTTTATTTTCGTCGGATTACAAGAAAAATACAAACATAAATTTAGAACCTAAACTTCAAGATTTTTTCAATTGCTTAAAGCAGTGGCAACACAGAAAGCTTACGTTAATGGGAAAAGTAATTGTGATAAAAACTTTTGCATTGCCAAAATTAATATATCCTTTTTCAGTTTTAGCAAACCCATCCAATGATAAGATGAAAGAAATAACTAAAGCGATGTTTCATTTTCTATGGGCAGGAAAACCAGAAAAAATAAAACGCAAAACTTTAAAACTAAATATAAAAAATGGTGGACTAAAAATGACAGACATTACATATTATCTTAATGCAGTAAAAGCAAGCTGGGTAAAAAGGTATATAAACAAAGATAATGAGAGTTCATGAAAACTTTTTGTAAAACGCAAGATAAAGCAATATGGAAATGATTTTATCTTCCAATGTAATCTTTCAAAAAATGATATCAATAATCTATATCCACATAATTCGTTCATGAATAATGTTCTTTCGTCTTGGTTTCACATTCAGCATGAGCACAATAAAAACAAAAATAATGTTAAAGACATAGTATGGAATAATTCTAGCATTAAAATTGACAACAAACTGGTTTATTATAAAACATGGCATGATAAAGGCATACTTTATATAGAACATCTTTATGATTATAGGAGAAAAGCCTTTTATAAATATGATGATTTTAAAGAAATTTACGGATTAGAAAATTCTGATTATTTAAGATACTTTATGCTAATAAACAATATACCAAAACAATACCTTGAGAAACTAAAAAATAACACATTATATGGAAGAACAAGATACGCTTCTCAATTAAATTCAAAAATCCAAAACAATAAATAAACTTTTATATAATATCCAACTTGAAAATGATGAGAAGGTAAAAAATAAAAATGAAAAGCAATGGGAAAAAGAAATAGATATAGAATTGAATTGGAAGAAGATATATACTATACCACTACAATGTACTATAGATGTGACATTAAGAAATTTTCAGTATAAGTTTATCCATAGACTTACTGCAAAAAACACTATGCTTTTCAAATATAATCTATGCATTCAAATTTGTGTGATTTTTGCTGCAGTAGTTTAGAAACACTTCATCATCTATTTTGGGAATGTAATATTGTTCAAAATTTATGGTCAAACTTGCACTCCTTTCTCTTATCCATTAATCTTCATTTTTCATACAGTAAAGAAACAGTATTTTTTGGAGAGCTTACAACCAATATAAATAGTAATGTAGTAAATTATATCATTATTCTAATGAAATATTACATTTTAAAAGTAAAAAATATCAAGGAAGAAAGCCCACTTTTGATATTTTCAAAAACTTTGTGCTGTTAAGGATACAGATTGAAGAAGAAATTGCACTGTCAAATGATAAAATTGAATCGTACAAACAAAAATGGAGTAAATTATCTAACACTTTAACAAACAATACTGATGACTAAAACAATAATATTATGTAAATTAAACCATAAAACGTAAAAAATTAAATGAAACTGATTCACTTGTCTGTTTCCCCCCTGTCTTGTGTGTGTGTGTGTGTGCGTGCGTGCGTGCGTGCGTGCGTGCGTGTGTGTGTGTGTTTACTGTAAGAATTATAATTTTTTTAAGTAGATTCATTCTTTTTCTTTCTTTATTTTTTGAAAGTTTTGTTTTTACTTTTTTTCTTTGTGGAGTTTCTATGTAAATGTGAATGATTGTGTTTATATGTTTTTGAAATTTAAAATAAATGAAAAAAAAGAAAAAGAAAAGACAAAACCGACGAATACAATTATGGATTTGATGTAACATTTCCTGAATTCATAAAATATATTCTTTACCTGCATGAATCCGGATTAGGTATAAATAAACATTTCCGGCCAATGCTTAGCTTATGTGATCCATGCTCAATATACTTTCAGTATTTTATAAAATTAGAAACACTCTCCGATGATGCTCGTTTCCTTATAACTAAATGGAGAAATGACTTTGATGATGTAAACCTACGCTTTGAGGATTTCGAAAAAGAAACAGTCATTGACACTGCTAGAGTGCATGTAAATTTTCTCTTCAGTACAAAGAAAGTTCTGGATGAAATCAAGTTTCCATTTATTAAACTTATGCTAAGGACATGGAGAGATTTGCAGATACGAGGTTATCTTTCTAAACATATTCCATTTCCATTTAAAGAAACTGATGCTAAAACAGTAACAAAAAATAAATACATTGAAGCTATTAAGATTGCACTAAAAATTCCAGTCAACAGCAAAGAAGTAAAACTTCAAAGGGAAGAGGCCCTGATTCAGGCGTACAGACAGGTATCAATAAAGGATATGGAAAGATTAAGGCAGTTTGTTCTAGAAGACTGTTTATTGTTTGGATACGATGACCGACCTGCTGAATTGTTTGATAGATCTAAAAGTGTGTCAAGAGATTTTGTTTATTTAGATGGACTAACAAAGAAATAAATGATAAGACTTTCTACATTCATATCCTCCTTTTTAATCTCTTTTTTTCTGTTTTTAAACGGTAAATAACTTCAATTATTTTGCAAGATTTTAAGCTTGAAACAAAACGGAACACAATTTTAGTCAAATTAAAATGCAAAAATTCTTTACTTATGTTTCTAGACTTCTAGACTGTAAAGCTGCTACAAGAGAAGCTTATTGAATTGTATGAAGTTTGATGTTGATTTATGTTTGTAAATATTCACTTACTAAAATAAAGTTATTTCTGACATAGGGATAAATCATTAAAAGAATGATTTAGAATTTAAAGCGATTATTTTAACGTGAAAATACTAGTCACATACCCAAAATGTTTTTGTTATCTGATTTCGTTACTAGTAGTTTGAGATCTTAATATCTTTCAAATTAGAATACTGCTATATTATATGATATGCCTGTGCTGAACTTCCAATTTTATACTTATTCTGCTTCTTTTACATTTGTTTATTTATAGCAGGTATTTGGTATATATTTGGTAAAATAATCTCATCAACTTTGAACTATGCTCCATAGGTAAGCGGTAAATATGATTGTTGTTAATTAGAAAAAGTGCATTTGAATTTTTGAAAAGATTGTTAGGAGTCAGATTAAACTTAGAACAATTTTATTTATGGAGAACTAAGAAAAACAAAGAACTGTAAGTGTAATAAGATACATGTGATTCATTGTACAGAGAGTAACATGTAAGACCTAACAAAATAACATGGGTTAGAAATATAAATTAGAAATGAGTTTTATTACAGTCACTTTCTTTTAATGATGTATGATTATCTCAAGCTCTAGGCAATGTAGATGTATTTATTAGTTAAGTAAAACAAAGAGTAAATGATGTTTTTGTCCAAAACTGGTTTTCAGAAATAAATGACTCAACAAGAGCTCGTACGTATGTATTATTTGCAGATTTTAGATTTCAAAAGTACTTAAACTGTATTAACATTGAAAAAAACATGTGATTACCACACGCAGGGTCGTAATTATCACACGGTTTGGGGTAGTGCCGTGATAATCCCACGGACGGTATTATATTTACACTTAATATTCTTGAATTATTTATCATTTTTTTCCTAAATGATTTCCGCGTCTAATGGTGTAAATTTTATTAAAAAGCTATACCGCATAGGGGTATCTTAAAGAGTAAACTTAAGACTGAAAACGTTCTTTCCTAAATATCAGCGTGTAATCTTTCGATACAGACAGTAATATAAATAATGCCTGATATAATTGAATTTTTTTTTCAGTTTAGGTTTCTCTGTCTCAAAAAAGTTTAAAAAAGTCTGTTTCATGGATTTTCCTCCGTTTTTTTTTAATTTATATTAGTCCCCCTTTTAGCTGAAATATGTTAAGTCTGATTCGTTGCACTTTGTGTGTTTGCATGCAATTCAAGATAATAGTAAAATCCACAATTAAATGAAAAGAATAAATAAATAGATAGATAAATAAATAAATAGATAAATAGACAAATAGATAAATGAATAAATGATTGAATGAAAAAACAAAGAAATAAATTAATTAAAAAATTGAAAATAAATAAATAAAAGGAAGACTCGAAATGACAAAGGTCTTGTTATGGTAATGGTGTGAATACGGAAAGCAGTAGTCCATGAAGGTGTGAATTCTTAAATGGCATGACATTTTCATAATATTAAACTTATATAAACACCTCGTTCCGTTTTGATAACTAAAGAATGTATATGCTGTCAATTGACTCATGAACCTGGAAAAAGTGTTGATATGTATAACTTCAATGTAATATTTGTTGATTATGAACTTTCCCGCTATAGTTTATATATTGTGTGATATTTATATGTGGTTCTTAGCCTCGTTTATTATGCTCCTGCAAATGTTTTTATACCTCGTGTTGTCATGTTTGCATGATCTGAGTGGAATAAAGAATAGAATAGCAATGTAACTAAGAAATATGTCAGGATATGTTTGCGAAAAAAATGTCAATTATTTCAGGAATATGCATTACATATATATCATTATTTCAACAAATAAGACATCAACACTATTTCAGTAGTTTATGAAAAATAAAAAAGATTGCTTTCGTATTTCATATAATGAATATGAAATTGTCTCAAATACAACAGTTTTCACGTGAAATGCAAAAAAGGCACAATTCAGGATTCGCGCTAATAACATACTATAATATGATATAAAAGTAAGTTAAATTCAGTATTTGTTAAAGTAGAAGATGTAAACTAGCTCTTATTATTCATCAGCGTACCTTAAGAATTTGATAACACATCTTCTAATCTTAAGGTAAGATAAATTGGTGCAGGTTGACGATGGCTAAATAGTCCGAAATGAAGGGGAAAACATGTAAGCCATATAATAAGGCTATTGTTGTTTCAATGCTACTATATAACGATAGCCCTCTTAGTAACAAAAGCTAGTCATTGTGTTGGTGATGTATTTCGCTCTAATGGTGTGTGGTAATACCGTGATGATCACACGTACGGTCTAATACTTAATCAGACATACTGGTTATACGCTTTTTTTCCAAAAGGTTTTCCGCAATATAATTTCTTTTCAATACTACGGCATTTTAAGGATTTCTTTTTTATGACAACAAGACGTCCAATCGTAATAAATATTTTAAAGTTTTTAATTAATTACAAAGGAAATATCTTTCAATGACAATGGCAATGATGAAATTGGTTGTCGCCATGCAGCTCCACATAGTAATGATGACCCTATATCATTGTGTTAGTGATTTCCACCAGTGTGATTACGCTACAGCTTTAATATTACCGCGCGTGTGATAATTACGCGGCGGCGTAATAATCACACGGTTAGCGGTAGTGCCGTAAGAATCACACGTACGGTCTTAGATTTACTCCAAAATAGTTAAATCATACACAATTTTATTTTAAAATGAATTCCGCATCTAATAGTATAATTTTTGTGGGAATTAATTAATTTTCTAACACACAGGAGTGTTTTAAAAAGAATGTATTGCAGCGATTTTTAAATAATTATGACAACTTTCGTTATGAATAATTTTAATTATGTTCTGATAAATATTTTGTTAACAGTTTTAGTTCTTCTTTTAGAATGTGTTATATTTATCGTGTTTTCACTTAGTGTTCAAGACAGTTGTGATTTTAAATATTGATTATAGCTATGTGTGTTTGTTATATTTTGCTAGGGATGTGAATAGACAATCATTGACGTGTCATTTTTCTAAATACGAATAACATTATCTTAACAAATCGAAGCGTTTGAACGTGAGTTATTACATTTATATAATGGTTATCAATAAAACTGCAATCAGATAGAGGTACTTATATTGCCGAAATGTACAATTTGTATTATTAATTAGAATAGTGCACGTGTTCGATTATATCGCGCCGAAGTTAGAACGGTCATGCGTACGAAATTATATTAAATTTAATCAAACATTTTTGAATTATGTAAAGTATAATACTATTTTCTTCGAAATCAATTTCGTGTCTACATGTGTCTTCAGCTAAAGGTTTATGCACACTTTTATAATGTTTTGATGTTAAACAAACTTGATCTCTGAAAAAAATGTATAAATCGCCTGCGACAGTAAAGCCGCGATAAGCCGTAATAATCGCAGCATTGTTTTGTTTTTAACCAGACATACTAAAAAATATTGTTTACTAAAATATTTGTGTCAAATAATTGTCCTTCTTGTTTACATATATGTTTGTTATCCAACACACAGGCGCATCTTGAAAAAAAATAATTACAGGGTATTGGAAAAAAGCGTCTGTTCATAATTTTTGTCGAAAAATATTATGATAAAGAAGTATTTTTTACCTAGATTGAACTTATCAGTGTCTTATCCGGTTGCTAATATGCATAATACGTATTGATGCATGGAGGTGTCAATTCTCTTAAAATCGCTAGGCGTGAAAGTTAACATTATGCACTAAAACACGAAACATACTGTTTGAAGTGTTTGCCATTCCTTATATCAGTTTATTGACAAATATGGGTATAGATAATTCTTGTAAACAAGCACATTATTTATCGCCTAAATCTTTTACCACCTGACAAATCTTTTGTTAGCATAATAGCGTCGCGCTCTGTGGGTGTATAGATACTGGAAAAGGCAAACTTTGTGTTTTTATTTTTTTACAACAATCCGTGTATTCCATTTGATAACATTGTATACACATATTCGCATCCAACATGTTAATTAAATATAAGACAAAACACAGTTGTGATTGGGATGATAAATGGGCAACGGTAAAAATATACAGTATGTACAAATGAGCCGAAATTGTTTAATTTCAGAGGTTCAAACTGAATATAATTGATTATTGACAAAGTTACGTCTCCTTTATAAAATACCTTATTAAATAACTGCTCACGAGTGTACTTTTTATTTAGACTGTATACATATTTAAGTTTTTTTTTTTATATATTTGGCGTCCGCGCCGAAGCGTGGCGCCCCTTTATGGAATGAAATCAGAATTTGTGAAAGGGCGACAGCAACTTCTCGAGCCTTTTAGTCGGTCATAATAAAAGCCGATCAATCCGATCGGTATGAGGGTGCTTGATTATTATTTATTTAAAATGAAATGTCGCGATATGTACAATGAATAGCGAACTGGAGGATTTCGCAATGCAAACATTTTCAAATGCGTCTCTTCGGGTTTTTTTTATTTATCTTTTTATAGTACACAGTGGGTTATCATGGTATGTTAAAATAGAATGATGAGTTGATGACCTAACTCTTCCGAAAATCTATTTATAGAGGTATCTACTCCTATCGGTAATTCCGGTCTCCCCCGGTCTATTTTGACCGGGATACTAGTGACCGGCAAATAGTATCACACGTTTATTGTCCGGTCTCTCCCGGTTTTGGAGTAGATGTTTGATATCAATACAGAACAGAACAAATATTTTACAGATAAATAAGCTTTTTTCCAAAATGAATGTTTGTCACTTAGTTTGGTTACAATAATTAATAAACATAGATCAACTCTCAAATTTATTGATTATTATTATACATAAACATACAATTCGTAAAAAAACCCAACAACAACAACAACAAGAATGGCATGTTTCATTGTATCTATATGAGATAAAAAAACAATAAATATGTACAACAATTGTAAAAAAAGGTGCATTTTTATGGTTTTGAATATTGAACCATTTTATTTATTTTTTCATTCGTGTTTAGTAAAGATGCCGAGGAATTATTCAAAAATACAAATTAGATTTTATTAATTATTAAATTGATTGATAATTTAAAAAATGATAAAGAAAAATACAAATGTACAAGTACATGGTTTAAGAATAAAAAATATTATAATTATATTGAAAGATTAACCATGATTTACTGACTTTTTCCAGTTAAGTTTTGACTTATAATCGTCGGTCAATATGACAATTGAAAGAGTAGTAAACGTAAAAAACTCAGTATTAAAATAGCACATAAAAACACAAAAAAGAGAGGAAAACAATATTCATAAAATCTGTATTTTTGTTATTAAAATAGATATTACAGTTATTGTATAAAAAACCAAAATGCTCAACATGACATGGTAATATAACCAGTGTCATAT